GTCGGTCGGTCGTTCACACTTGGCCACCTTCGTGGTCGACCATTTTCACGGTCGCCCACCCTTGTTGATCGGTCGTTCATTCACGACGCCTGGCCCCCTCTACGATCGGCCATCCTAACAGTCGACCATCCTTGTCAGTTAGTCGCTCGTCATGCTCGGCCACCCTCTACCACTTTTCCCGCATTGCAGGACTACTTCCACCTTTCCTATTCCCTTCATTGGATTAAAGCTACACTCAGGAATAGGGGACTACTGATGGGCATAACCCAAGAGGGCCCAGCCCGCGGGGTCACGGCCCAAGAGGGCTTAGCCCATGGGGGCATGACCCAAGAGGGCCCAACCTACAGCCTAGGGACCAACCAGCCAATGCTGGGACAAAACCAATAGTATTAAAGCACTTGTCAGGCAGGGAATTAGCCATATAAACAGACAAAGATCCTGCAATGTTATTGCATCCGCACATCAGTCATTTAATGAGGCTCTTGTAGCATTAAATATAACAAGCCTTTCACGCGGGAGAAGGCAGACTCACCATGAACGATGTTAACTAGACTATAAACTTTCTGCCTACAAGACAGCTTGAAATGGACAAAAAAATGATGAGCAAAAGATATAAGGAAACTTTTGAGATATGTTAGAGGTTAAGTTTTTCATCATTTTCTTCTCTCTCTCTCTCTCTATAAAACCAATTACTATCTACCCTAATCTAATTGGATCGTCGGAGTGTCTATCGAGGGACTACTTCTCCCTTTGGACCTTTTTGCAGGCACACATCGAGGATTCAATAACCAGCAGACTCATAGAAGGCGCGGGCTAGTTCGACCCATCCACCATTGATATCACAACATCATCAGTCATTATTAAATAAGAAAATAACATAATTATGGTTGCATATAGTACACCCTTTTTAAAGATGTGTATCTTAGAATTTTTCTTTTTATTGTTCTAATATGTTCCCAAACATACCTTGGCTTTTTTGACATTTTACAAAAAGATGTGTGAAAAATTCGAAAGGGGATGTGATTTCAGTTATTTATCATATTTTTCTAGACAGCAAGACTATAAACTCAGAATTATCTACCCAGAATTTACCTAGAAATAAGAATCAATGGTTCAAATTTATTTCACTCATAGACTCCACATTTTATCAATTTAATTTTCACCACACATACCCATTCTATGTATCTCTATGGGTTCCTAACTCTGGAACCCTAACCTATTTGTTTTCTATTGGTTCATCCTCCCTGTAATTATAAATAAAATAAAAAAATTGTAATTATAAGTTATTACGAATTATGCTAGCACAACAAAATTGTGTCATTTTTATTATTTTAAAATGTATTATAATTTATGAGAATAATTCTTGCTATTCTATTTGTGTAGGTTATGAGAGTTATATTTTCATGAGATATATAGCTGCACTCTTTATTCTTCAAAGCAAAGTTCTTACTATCTTTTATTTTCCACTCTTCAAAACCAAGTCCTTCAGATTATTTCAATCTTAGACATTGTTTGGCTGTAAGATTTGTTTGGGAACATTTTTTAGAAAAAAAGCTAAATTATTTGTTTTTGTTTGGTTTGACAAAGAAAATGAAAATAAAGTAAATATGCAATTTATAGAAATTTATTTTTTTAGTTAATTATAAAATTTGAACAAATAAAAGTATTTTTAATTTTATTTTTTCCTTTTCATTTCCTTTAAATTAAACACAACTATTACAAAAGACTGCTATAATCATTGATGAAAGTAAATACCTGTAATTCTTCTATTACAAAAAATAAAAAATAAAAAAGATACAAAAACGATGGCTGTTATCAAATTTCTCAGTTCTAAGAATTATGAAAAACAGAAACAAAAACGAAAATATCAAAAACGAAAACAATTTTATAAACAAGGTAAATTATAAATATACTCCTTGAGGTTTGCTTAAAATATAGATTGTCCCTGTGATTTGAAAAATTACAAATACCTCCTTGCTAGTATTTTTTATTTAACAGAATTAACTAAAAAAATAAAATTCATAATTGTTCTCCTATACAGTAATAAAATTACCTAAATTACTAATTGAAACATATTTCTAAAATTATTAAAAATTATTAATTGATTCGATAATTTATCAATAAAAAAGACGATTTGTCTTGAAATTAAAAATCTCAGGAAATAAAATGTAATTTCTAAAACTACAAGAAACGATTCGTATTTTAATCAAATATCAGAAAGTGTATTTATAATTTACCATTTTAAACAGCCAAACTTTAAGAGAACTATGGAGAGGCTTTGTTTTGGGCATGCATGGTGCCTAAGAATGGCAATGGGGCAGGGCCGGGGATCACACTCCCTGTCCCTGATACCCGGTGGTAGAAATTTCCCCGTCCTCGGCCCCGATCCTCGACGAGGAGCTTATCACCGTCCCCACCCCCGCCCCCAACAGGGATCGGGTTTCCCCGACCTCGAAAACTCTCCGGTTAAAAAAAAAAAACAAAAACAATATAGATATCCAACAACAACAACAGATCCAACAACACCACCAAATCATATATGTTCTTCATCATCCTCATGATCATGATCATCATCAATAACAACAACAACAACACACCCAGATTTAAAATATATATTCAAGAGCTCAAATGTAAAAAATAAAAAATCTAAAACATTCAGAGAGAGAAAGAGAGATGTCAAGAACAAGCACCTTATTTGCGGCAGAGAAAGGGGTTCTCGATCGACATGAACCACGATCGAGAGGAAGAGGTTCTCGATCGGCATGAATGACATGGTCGACAGGAAGAGATTCTCGATCGGCGGTCGAACTGAGGCCGAACAGAGCCGCCATGGCCATTCTTAGGGCTGTGGTTGCGGGGGTTCTGCGAGGGAATGGCAACGGGCCGGGGCGGGGCCGGGGATCATACTCCCCGTCCCCGATCCCCGATGGTAGAAATTTCCCCGTCCCCGGCCCCGATCCCCGACGGGGAGCTTATCACCGTCCTCAGCCCCGCCCCCAACGGGGATCGGGTTTCCCCGACCCCGAAAACTCTCCGCTCCGGTTAAAAAAAAAAACAATATAGATATCCAACAACAACAACAGATCCAACACCACCACCAAATCATATATGTTCTTCATCATCCTCATGATCATGATCATCATCAATAACAACAACAACAACACACCCAGATTTAAAATATATATTCAAGAGCTCAAATGTAAAAAATAAAAAAATCTAAAACATTCAGAGAGAGAAAGAGAGATGTCAAGAACAAGCACCCTATTTGCGGCAGAGAAAGGGGTTCTCGATCGACATGAACCACGATCGAGAGGAAGAGGTTCTCGATCGGCATGAACGACATGATCGACAGGAAGAGATTCTCGATCGGCGGTCGAACTGAGGCCGAACAGAGCTGCCGTGGCCATTCTTAGGGCTGTGGTTGCGGGGGTTCTGTGAGGAAGAGCCTCTGACGAGGAGGTTCTGCGAAGAGAGAGAGAGGAGCTTCCGAAGAGAAGGAGTAAGGTTGTCGCCAACGAGGGGAGAGGAGCTGCCGACGAGGGGGTTCTGCGAAGAGAGAGAGGAGCCGCCGTGAGTGATGGTGAAGATGAGAAGAGAGAGACCAGAGACGGTGGAGATGAAGAGAGATGTGAGGAATGGAGAGAGAGAGACAGTAGATCTACATGACTGAATGAGAGAGAGAGTAAATGGAGATCAAAAAAGTATATAGATAGGGATATATAATATATATAATATATATATCATTCGGGGGGACAAACGGGGCGGGACCGGGACTGAAACATGTATCCTCGTCCCCGGCCCGAATATCATCGGGGATTTTTTTTTTATCACCATCCGGGCCCGTCGGGGATATTTTTCGAGGAATAACCGTTATATTCGGAATCGGGGGGTCAGGTTCCCATCGGGCCAGTTTCAAATTGCCATCCCTGTGCCTCCCCCATGCCCTTCCCTGATCCACCAGCCATACCACAAATACAAACTCCCTCAGTCGGCATATTTCACTTTTATGATAATTAGGAATTTGTTGTGATGTCTGTGATCTGGCCAACTTCAAACTTGTCCAACTAATCTAAATCATTCATCTTTGTAGCAAATAAATCATTAACGGAAAAAACAACCATATCATCACAAATTTAAACAAATCCAAGCAAATGATAAACACAGAATGTGGATGGACAATGTGACATTGAGACTCGTAGCATTCCTTAAGCTTATATCTATACAACCAGACACCAATTGCTTGTTCACCAGCCCCCAGCACTTGGCGGCTCGCCTAAATATATAAAATGTATTTCAAAAGCTCGAGGAAAAAAATAGTAGTAGTTCAAGGCTAACTACCCATCCTAGTACAGAGGATTAACAACCTGAATAAACTCAGAAACATAAAACATCTTCTTTACTACTCAAAACGGCTATTGAAGACATTCCCAATGACACAAGATACTGAGGTATCCATATCACTAACACGCATAATTTTATAACAATCAACTAATCCTACTACCAAGATTTTATATGATAAGCCCCACTATTTATTAAATATAATGGGGTACTACATAGCTTTTATTACATCAATACACTAAAACTATGTTTGTTTGGGTAGATATAAACTTGGGATTGGATTAATAGTCCAATAAAATTATTAATCCGATGTTTAGTTAAACAATTGAAGTACAGACTAATTATTTTAAGCTTGTTTATTAGTTAAGATAGGGTACATAATCCAACGGATTCGTAGTCCTAGGACTATTAGTCATGGAAATGCTAATCCAATCCGCCCAAACAAACATGGCATAAGAGTTGAAACAAACACTAAGAGTTGAAACAAAGTAGTGAAATATTTAAATAGCAACTCTCTATATAAAAGCATAACAAGCCAAGAATCACAAGAAAATAATCACTCACAAAGCAAAACATGATGCAGACAGAGTATGATCCCAGTCAACACAAAATATAACTCACACCATAGACATAACAAGAAGCAAGACAAAGAAACAAGAAAATATGAAAGGAAAACATCTTTCATATCATACTAGTTGCCAAAACATATAAACAAAGCAATTTATTTACTAGGTTCAAATCCAAACTTCTTCACAGGTTAGCTAGTTATAGACATACTAGAGGAAGTAGCCAAGAAAACAAAAACAAAACCAAAAGGCTCATAACATGTTCCTGCAGCTACTCCATTTATTATATATATAGTATATATACTATTGAAAAGGTAATAAGAAGCCTCTTGGATTACATCTTCTCCCCAGCAATAAGATCCATGACCACACGCTTGATGCTCCCATTGTTCTTCTGCAGAAGCCTCTTGTTTGTCTCTTTATCACAGAAACCCTATCATCCAAAACCCAAATTTGTTAAACCAAATCAAACAATCAGGGGAAAAGAAAGAAAAGCTAATGATTAGTTTGATTTTAAAAATCTATTTTATGAATTTTTTGAAAAAATAAAACTAGTTTGATGAAAATAAATATCCCTTGAAAAAAAAACTAGTTTGATGAAAATAAATACCAAAAGATATTTTTGCCCCCCCCCCCAAACAGAAAACCATATAAAAATGACAGAGTGTTCTTTAATTTTTTCCATTTTTTTCACCAAACTAATTTTTAGTGTTTTTTTATTCAGAAAACAGAGTTTGAAAACACAGCTCACCATCTCCTGCAGCTCCTCAAGGATCGGATCCCATTCAGCTACACCACAGAGATCATCCACCGATTGCTCCAAGTCATATTCATTCATCCTCAAGATTTCCTTGTTCAAATCAATCTGCTTGAAACCCATCTCCTCAAGTTCCCTAAGGAGGGTCTGCTCAACATCAGCTTTAGGCGACGGCACAACATCAGCTTTAGGCAACGGCACAACATCAGCAGAAGGAGACGGCAGAGCCGGTGCAACTTCTGACAAATCAATAACAGGGTATGAAACTGTTGCAGGAGACACTGGAGTGACAGGGTTCGAGACCCCACCACCAACTAGTAAAGTATCATTAATGGGGAAATTCTGCTCCTGGTCCTTGTTTGGGTGCGAGTAAACAATTGGCTCCACTAAATCTTTGGCTCTGTCAGGATTGTTGGGCACTGGGAAGCTATCCACCACGGGTTCAAACTGCATATTTACCATTTCAGGACCAGTTATACCACTGCTGGCAGGAGGCAAATTCAGGTTCAAGCCATTGAAGCTATCGTACAACGAGTCCATCAGAGTCCAGCAATGCATTGAGCTCTTCGGTGTCTTCGTGCATCTCACTGCCCATATCATCTCCATGATTTTCATTACCCTCATCAGTCAAAATGGGCCCAGGGGAATGAATGGTATCTCTTCTGGTTCCTAGCTCTATCTTATTCCAATCATAACAATTTTAAACTATTTTCCATCCACCACCATCATCATATTTTTTTTTTTCTCTTTTTCTTCTTTCCACCGCCCCACTTTTCCTGAACCTCAACTTTTTATCTTTTCTTAAAAATATTAAAAAGCATTAGAACAAAATTTCTCAGTTAAAGACTAATGGATGTCACTAATTGTAAATTGAGATTGTTTGGTATTGGCTTTTTTAGTGACTTTTGTTGGTTTGAAATCCAACTAAAAAACCAAAAAGTTAAAGTCACAAAAAAAGCCAAAAAGTTAAAAATTATCCCAAACATATTAGTTTTTTTCCCTCACATTTTAGCTAAAAAGTCAAAAAGTTACTAAAACAGCTTATTCCCAAACCATGTTAGTGGGTTTGGGTATGGCTTATATAGTGATTTTTTGGCTTTTTGCAAAAATACGTGCAAAAAGTAGAGAGAGGTGATCTAACAACTTGTAGCAAATAAGACAATAAACAACTTATTTAGATGGTTGCCAAACTACCTCAGCTAAAAAAGTTAATGTGTTTGGAAAGTTGCTAAAAGAATGCTTTTTTGTTAGTGAAGAAGTTGCGTTGCTTTTTGGCATCAGGCTTTTTGACTTATTTAGCCAAAACGATGTTATTTATTTATTTATAACACCCCAAACAGACGCATGCAAGCTCTTAATGTAACAAATTATCAAATAAGAACACAACGCAAACATAAGTAGACTATTTAAAAGTGGTTGTAAAGAAGATTAGAAGGCCGCTTACCTGTAACTCAACAGAAATGGCATTGCTTAATTTATCTCCCCCGATCCACATAAGCTGAGTTCCCTGAGGCCACACAACATTACCATTGTTCCGCATCCGCCAAATCTTGGTAAATGGGGTTGATGGGGCCATGACAGTACCATCCATCACATTAACATCCAAAATGAAGCGACTCTCCAACTTTGGGCGACATGGCTTCATCCCACCAGCTCTCAGGACATGATGTAATGGTGGAGGACGCACCCGGGGATTCTGCATCCGGAAAAAACAAATGAAATGAACAAAACATAAAACAAAAAGGAAAAACTTCGCTACCCATGGAAAAGAAAGAGGTGAACTAGGATACCACATACAGAATCATAGAACCCTTTAAAGGAATGTGGATGCCGATGTGAAACCGGACGGTCCATTCTGATGTAATCAGTGTCTTTTCCCATTTCTGAGAAGCAGATGCTGCACAGGTCATAATTATCTTTTCTGCAAGAAAAAAGAGAGTAGATTTTTCAGTATTTTTCTCTCTAACAGCAAACCACATGATATTTAATAAATACTTACACTTTAGACTTAAACCTAGGTCCAGTTATTGGATGAACCCCACAGCCATCGCAACAAACACCCCTATGAAATATACCGCCCATGCCTTCACTGTGACTGTAGCCCCTTTTAAATAGAGGCAGTACACGGGAACCATAATGCAATGGAGGCACAGCTGAATCACTTGCTACAGGAATCCCCGCAAATGGACATTCATTAATTAGATTCAGATTAGGGAACATCGTTGTGCTTGTACTGCCACCCAAATTCGTATTCTTGGAATCCATGGCAGAATTTCTCTTAGAATCAGCAGTACTTGCAAAAAAACCAGAACCAACAGATTTCCATGGTTCAATTGACTTCCTGACCTCTTTATTATCACTAGTAGGAAAATTAGATTCAACTGACTTGAAATTTTCCCACTCAATACCCTTAGCTTTACGATCCCTCGGCATGTTAACCTCCTCTTTGCTACCACAAAAAGCATCAACAGATGCAGGATTCGCAGACATAAATCCAGATGGAAAAGAATCACCAGGGAGGCTAGCATTAAGATTCATGGGACCAGAGGTAGGGGTAACTGAGGCATCCACATCTTTGATGCCCTTACCAAGGTCCACCTTCTTATTGGTTTTGCAAGTTGGCTCTTCAGATTTGGTATTTGGCATCACCTCTGATGTGGTCCCATCATCCTTTGAAGCCTTGGTCTTGTAAGTTGGCTCTTCAAATTTGGTATTTGGCATTGCCTCTGATGTGGCCCCATCATCCTTTGAAGCCTCTGGCCCTTTGGTCATTGATGCACCCATGGGATTTCCAGCAGCCCCACTGTGTGCGCTAGATTCTGTACCAGCCTGGAACTCAGAAAGCGGATTTATGTAGGACTGACCCAATTTTGAAAAAGAGTCAAAAAGCTCAGCAAGCCCTGGAGTAGAGGATGCAGGTCTAGATACGAAGTCAAGCGACAGTTTCGAGAATGCTTCACGGAAAGGTTCTGGTACAGATTTCAAGAATTCAGAAACAGTGCTGTTCCAGTTTGGCAATGGATACTGGACCCCAGGTGATCTCATTGGGGTAGAGCTTCCACTTGATCTGGTGTACGATCTACCACCCTTATCAGAATTCAACTTCACACTAATCCTCAAGGGATTCAAGGACTGTCTCATGACATCATGCAGATCCTCCTCATCGACAAATGTTACTATATCACCATCTTCATCAATATAAGTGAGTGTAAGATCCACATCAGATGCAAAATTGAAGAGACTAAGAACCTTCTCTCTCAATCCGCCCATGTCAAGGTCCAGCCGTCCAGCTTCAGTAACACGTGCATTGAAGCGCCTAAGTGTTTCTCCATATTTAACCTGAAGCCATGTACCCATACATGTTTAAAATATAATATAATGCACAAGGAACCTATAAAACCAGGTAGAGATCATGGAAAAGAGAAACCATGCTGGTAATTCATTAGAGAAAAACCAATAACAAGCAATGTAATACACTAATCGCGCAAGTTTTGACAAAAACTTAATATATTCTATTACAAAATATGTAATTCAAAGATATCCACCAAGTAAGCCACAATGCATATCGAAATACCTCTTTGCATTATATGAACAACATTTTGATACTGAAGTTAATATTATCATTTAAGAAAGGACACTACTAAACTGCTTGTTGAATCAGATTCCCAGAAGGATAACAAACAAGAAAAAAAAAAACAGTTGGGATCTTAATATTCACAACCTAGCATATATCATAAAAATCACCATTACTTAACTCGAGGTTTTTCTTTCTTAAGACGAAAACATTAGTGCTAAAAAGCCTAAAATAAAGAAAGGGTCATCCTAACCACCACCCAATGGGTGCTAGAGTTATGGTTCAAATAATATATAGGGTTTGCTCCCTCCAAGTCTTAGGTTGAACTCCCATTACTATCAACTTCTTCGAGCCACGCTAGCGGGCTCTGCCCGATCCACGTGGAGGGATGCTTTGTGTAAGTCCTGTGCGCGTAAGTGTACCAAACACCCAGTCATAAAAAAAAATAATATAAAATTTTAGAATTTCAATACACATTTGTATTTCCACACTATTATATATTTATGCACATAGTTCCATACACCCTTTTACACATATAGCAACATTAACCAACGCCATTGACCGGCGGTGACTAGCATTATCCCATAAAAAATAGGTAAAGATTAAATTCTTGAGGCTATGTTTGGACAATATGAATCAAAGACAATGAGTGAAAACAGGCCAACAACACCGACACCCGTCAAATAATAACAAACTAAGGGGAAAAAAAATCAGAAACAGGCCAAAGAACCATATGTTAACACCGTTCAACACGTTGTACACAGAAAGCCCCAAAATTTTGATTATTGATTGACCATACCATCTAGAAGTATTTCTCAAACAACCAAGCAATCATCTAGGTTTCAATATACCATACAGTTTACATATATAATGTAACAAAAAGCTAATCATCTAGGTTTCAATATACCATACAGTTTACATATATAATGTAACAAAAAGCTCACATAAGAACTTAATTTTACATTTTAGTTTCTTTGTAATCTCTATTGATTTCAATAAGATCAAAACCCAATAATACTAACAATCGTAATTTTATTTCCGTCAATTTTCTCAAAAAAAAAAGAGCACAAAAAAAAAAAAAAAACACGATCGTACACAAACAACAGCCAAATCAAACACAATCATACCCAAACAATAAACAAATCATTGAAACCGCAGCCGAAATAGTGAAATCGTATCATAATACAGATAATCGGATAAGCTAATGGAAAAGAGAGAGTGTAAAATCGAACCTTGATCACAATAGTAGACTCCATAGCTTACACTAGAAGCGTTCCAGGTAAGCCGCAACAAGTACTAAAATAAACGAAACCCTAACCCTAGAATCGAAGGAAACTGAAGACGAATAGTTCAAAATCCAGAGCGATACGATCGGCGAGACTGGGTTACAGAGAACACCATGTAGATTACACGCGTAACCTTGAGCCGCTTCTCTCTCTATCTCTCTCTCTAAAAACTTTCTCTCTCTGTAGATACAGGTGTTGCTGCATATATATAGAGAGAGAGATTTTGTGATATATCTTCTTCCCAAAGAAAACTCCTCGACGAAGGAACCAAAAAGTCGTCTCGATCTCATCCGAATAGACCTCGAGACCACGGTAGCAACCGTGGATCTCATTAGTTATTGGCTAGAATTTCGTTTTATGGTGGATTTGGGTGTATTGGATTGTAACTGACGTGGAAAATATCGCGGCGGATGAACAAAAAATGGCATAGACCTAAGAATTCATGTCCACCGTCCACCAATACATAGGGATATGGAAAACTAGAGGCTAACGGGTTGTTTAGGATGACTTAATTAAGTGTATTTTTTGTCTTTTTAAAAAAGGTGTGCAGAAAAATAAAGAGATGATGTGATGAAAAAAAGATAAAAAGTGTGTACTTATTTTGGGGTTGCCAAACTTTGCCTAAAAATTTCTATCAAATGTTTTATCAAATGTGTGATATGAATATGGATTTCAGACTTATATAGACCCACGTAATATGAGACATTTAATAAAATATTTGATAGAAATTTTAATACCACTAACATTATTCTAAAGAGACGAGAAGGACAATCGGTTTTTGTTTGGGCATGTCATTTTATCACATTTTTATTGGGTAAATTATGGTCCCTCAAACCTTTTATCATTTTTATTCTTTGACTTTTCAATTATGATATATTTAATCTGAGCAAATTAAACTAACGCTCACTATAGTTTGAGTTTTTTGTCATTTTGGTCCCTAATTTTTTAATTGTGATACATTTGACCTTGAATTTTAAATCTTATTCTAAATAAAGATAATTGAAGATATCATTGCTCAATTTTAAGGATAAAGTCGTTAATTTGATAAAATATAAACTAATTTGATAAAAATAGATGTCAAAAAAATATTTTTGAATTTTTAAAAATTATTTCTACCCACTAAAGATAAAATTATGTAAAATTGATAAATTTTCTAGATATATATATATATATATATATATTTTTACCAAATTAATTTGTACTATGTGTTTGGATGATGATCGTGTAATGGGTGATTGTTTTTATTTTCATTAAATTAACTTTTATTTTTTCAAAAGTCAAATATGACAACAACTATAATATAATTATTAAACCAATCCATCAAATCAAAAAATCCAAAACTAAAAATATTTCATATATAATATATTGATTACACATTAAAAGTTTAGCAACCATCCATTACATGATCATCATCCAAATACATAATAAAAATTAATTTGGTAAAAAGAATAAATAAATAAATGTATAAAAGATTTATCAATTTTACATAATTTTGATCTTTGGTGGATAGAAATTATTTTTAAAAATTTTAAAATATTTTTTTGATATTTATTTTTGTCAAATTAGTTTATATTTTTATTAAATTGACGATTTTGTCCTTAAAATTGAGCAATGGTATGTTCAATGTCATTATTTGAAACAAAATTTAAAATTCAGGGTCAAATGTGTCACAATTGAAAAGTCATGGATCAAAGTGACATGAGTCTCAAATTATAAGGACTGTTAGTGTAATTTGCCCATTTAATCTTGAATTTTAAATTTCATTTTAAATAAGGACAATTGAAGACACTATCCCGCAATTTCAAGAATAAAGTTATCAATTTGATAAAATATAAACTAGCTTAATAAAAATAAATATCAAAAAATTATTTTTAAATTTTTAAAAATTATTTCTACCCATCAAAGATTAAATTATATAAAGAGGATTTTTTTTTTAAGGTCCATGGTATTAAGATTTTATAGTATAAAGGACACTCAATATTTTCATAATGTCTAAGATCCCTCAACATCGATCTAGAGAAAATTCGATCCAGAGAATTTCTCTGGACAAATTACAGAGAAAATTTCAAATTTCTTTGGACACATCATAAAGAAAATTCTAAATTTCTCTGAACAACAATGAGAACTAGTGCTCTGCTTTAGAGAAAATTTGGTTGGTCCAGAGAAATTCTCTGGTTTGGACTGAATTTTCTCTGGTTTAGCCTAGAGAAATTTTCTAGTTTAGATTGAAATTTCTCTAGATTGATTTGAGGGACCTTAGACATTCTCTCCTTGGCATTTCATCAATGCCTTCTTTGCTAAATCTATGTCCCCATCTCGTGTAAGGTTGTCTCCCTTTTTTAGTTGTCATTATGATGTTTTCAATCATTACTTAAAGACAGAAGTAGAGAAAAATCTTATAATTGAAAAAGAACAGAACCACAATCACACTAAGACCCAAAAATTGTCAAACATTAAACTAATGTAATAGAAACCCAAATTCCAATATATACCTTCAATAGGTTTGGAAGAAGCCTCCCCACTATATGACCATGATGATAATAGAGACGGGCTACCACTACCACAACTCTAAATTCGATTTAGAAGTTTCCTGCGAGAAAAGCAGTGATCGGAGACGAGCATGGGCATGGCGGTGGTAGTGGGAATGGGGACGATCTGGAAGTCTTCATGGTGGGAATTGGGACAATTTGGAAGACGCGGAGAAGAGGTGAATTTAGTAGAGGAAGAGAGTTTAGAGAGGAAGAGAGAAAAAAAAATGAGGTTTGATTTCAGAAATTTCTTTGTGATATATAAGTGTAGGGGTTGAGGGACCTTAGACATCATAAAGTAATATTGTAGATTTCTTCCATTACTAAATATGAGAGAGGGACCTTAGACTAATTTTTCCTTTTATAAAATGATAAATCTTTTATATTTTTATATTTTTATTTTTTTACCAAATTAATTTTTAGTATGTATTTGGATGATGGTCATGTAATTGGTGGTTGTTTTTGTTGATATTTTTGGATGGTTAGCATGTAATAGATCGTTGTGTTTGTTGTTAACAGAAATTTTTGGATGATTATCATATAATGGATGGTTATTAGGCTTTTAATGTATAATCGATATGTTTAATATATGAAATATTTTTAGTTTTAGATTTTTTGATTTAATAAATTGGTTTAATAATGACATCAAAGTTGTCATTGAATTTTGAAAAAATAGAAATTAATTTAACGAAAGTAAACATAAAAAAATTACTTAAAAAAATTATTTCTACCCTCCCAAAAGATAAAATTATATAAAATAATGTGTTTTTAATTTTTTACACTAATTTAATTTTTAGTTTCTTAGAATTTTTTTAAAAAAAAATAGATTCTGAAAACTAAACCAAACAGAACTTTATAACAAGAAAGTTTTAACATTATTCATTAAAAAAAGGTTATTACATTTCAACCAACATGCAACTTAACCAATACAAAATAAGTTGTATGACAACTTTACTCTTAAAATAGATAGTTTGTAAAGGAAACATCTTTAATTGTCCTTATTTAGAACAAGATTCAAAAAACAAGATCAAATATATTACAATTAAAAAGTTTGAGATCAAAGTGAGACAAGTCCAAATTACAGGAACTGTTAATGTAATTTGCCTCATTTATTTTAAAAATAATCATTACAAATTAAATTAGTTTGATAATTATTCCGTAGATGATTTTATTGCATCTATTTTAATTTTTTTAAATGGTGATTTTAAAATAAATATAATAAAATAATATTAAAAAAAAATTGAATAAATATTCTCTATGTAAAGGCTTATATATAAGAGGAAATTTTGTATTTTCAAAAATTAATGATAAACTTATGGAAAAAATTATAATTTTACTTTTTAATATTTGCAAAATTTATTACTAATCGGAAAAGATTTTTCTAACCTTACATTGTTGATGCAAAGTTACCCCTATATATAATAACATGGTGAGAAAATGTTTGTGGATAACATGGTGGGAAATGTGTGGATTGGGTGGTATATTTGGAAAGACCGAAACAACTTGGTTTTCAACCATCATCCTATAGAGCCCTCCTCAACGTTATATCGAGCTCGAGTGGCGAAGGAGGAGTTCGACTCAGCTACTGCTCCTGGGGCTGTGAGGCAACACCAAAGTCTGCTGGATTGTCTTTCAAGGGTGGCCGGCTGGCAAGCCCCCAGCACCGGGTCTTTCAAAATTAACTGTGATGTGGCTATCAAAATGGGTTCTCATTCGGCTTCAACTGCGGTACTTCTACGAGATGATCGGGGTAATTTGATTGATGGAGATACGCAAAGGTGGAGGGTCAGTTCCTCTTTGCAAGGCAAAGCTTTAGCTTGCCGGAGTGCATGTCAATTAGAGGTGGCTTGTAACCTTAACTCGGTAGAGATCGAAGGGGACAACAAAGATGTTATCAGTTTGTGTGTTTCCGAAGACGCCCCGCCGTGGGAGTGTGGAGCCATCTTCAAGGATATCAAGAGATTGGCGACTCAGGGGCACTTCTCCTTTCATTGGAGTCCTCGAACAGCCAACAAAGCCGCACATTGGGTGGCCCAAGCTTCCCTCTATGGTCGACTCCCTCTTAACTGGGTGGGACAGCCACCAGCTGCCTTGGCGCTCTTGCTGAATGCCTCTTAACTTGTCTCTTCTTGTTGCTGCTCTGTTTCTATCTTTCTTGTGTTAAAAAAAAAAAAAAAAAAAAAAAAAAACATGGTGGGAAATGTTTGTGGCCTTGAATTGTGAGGCTCGAATGCCTCCACTTCCTTCTTTTTATTTATTTATTTGTTTGTTGGGCTGTGTTGGTTATTTTTTTATTTTTTTTAGGGCGGTTAGTATAGGGGAATGCTAAAATATTAGATATTCTGCACTAACTCACTTTGTGTGGTTTGATAAGGTAGGTGAGTGAGTTGGGTTGGATTGGTTGGATGATAAAATTAACTGATCAGTTAGGCTACTGGTTAAAATTTATTAATTCCATATAATTTTGTACGAGTCCTTGCTATATTTTTGTTTCAATTAGCAGGGACTCGTATAAAATTATATGAAATTAACAAATTTTAACTAGTAGCCTAATTGATCAGTCACTTTTATCACCTAACTAGTTCAACCCAGGCTGAATTGGTGTGGGATATCAAGTTTTTTGGCATACCTTCACACATAACCACATTTCCAAAAAAAAAAAAAAGGAAAGAAAGAGGAATTGTCGAGCCATTCGAGCCTCAACAATTTGAGGCCCCTAGCATTGCCGTAATATGATATATGAATTGGGTTTAGTTTCTCCCAAGTTTAAATATGAAGTCAAGAAAATTTAAGGGACCCTTGGAGTTTATCATAGGCCCTATTTTGATAATTTAAACTATTTATTTTCTTAGATCTTTTGTGTATATTATCTATAAAAAAGAGATTAGATTATCTCAAGTTGGCTATCTCAACTTAAGAAAATTTTTGGGTTTGGTGGCCCATTTTGGGGGGCGACCTCAGTGATCCTAACCATTCATTCTTTAGGACTAGTTGAGTAGAATATGCATGAAAAAAAAAATTAAGAAATCAAATATTGGTGGCTGATATATTTGAATCACATTTGAATTACAAAACATATATAGTTATATTCTTAAAATTATAAGTATCGTCCATTTTTTTTTTTTTAAAAAAAAAAAGTGTGATTCAAACATATATGGTTACCAATCTCCGATTATCTTAATTTTTTACGTGAATATTTTACTCAATGAGTCCTAAAAAGTGAGTGATTCGAATCACCGAGGTCGGCCTCAAAATAGACCTACCAAACTCAAATGCTCTCTCAAATTGGATGACCAACTATAAAAAAAATTTAGCTTAATCTGGTAATAGTAAGCTTTTAATTTTGTTGTGTTATAAATGATTTATTTTTAAAAATATATTTATCATTCATTTTTCAAAACTAAAACTATAAAATAAAATAAAAAGTTAAGATTATCATATCGACTTATTTTTTTTATGAATAATATATATTAAAAATCATACAAAATGAACGATTCATATTATTAAGACCCGTAATCAAATTATTTTCAAATATAAATTTAAATAAGTACACTTATTTAAATCATAGCACTTATCTATTTTTTACATATTTTTTTTATAAAAAAGTAAAATACACTTATATAAATTATCCCAACAAACCCTAGAGAAACTCAATCCAATCATGGCAACCCTTCTACTAAAAAGAGTATCTAGTCCAACATTACCTAAACAATGTATCCACCAAGAAAAGAGAAAGGCTAAATAATACTCGGTGGTGTTTTGAGAAGTTGGTAAAAAGTTTTTTTTTTGGTTTTTTTTTAATGGCTTTTGAGCTTTTTTGTGTTAAAAAAGCTAAAAAACTAAAAAACTAGCTTTTTTAGCTTCTTTCCAAATTGCCCCTCACACTCCATTCCTATGAAATCAAACTCTCATTTTTTTTATTTATTATTTAGCACTCATTTGAGAATATACTATTTAGTAATTTTTTAGTTTTTTTAGCTAAAATATGAGTTAAAAAAATTAGTATATTTGAGATATTTTTAGTTTTTTACGAAAAGATGCAAAAAGTAAAGAGAAAATAAAAATTTTGACTCTTTTTTTTTTGTATAATTTGTTAGCTTTTTGGCTTATAATATGCTTTTTGATATTTTTTTAAACTACGAATTATCTTATATGATTTTAGAAATTATATTTTATCCCTTTAAATTTTTAATCGCATAACAAATGATTGTTTTTATTAATAAATTATTAAATATTAATGATATTATAAATATATTTTAATTACCAATTTTGGTAATTTTATTCAAGGATTTTTTTAATGTCCTGGTATTAATATTTTATAAGATAATATTTTCATAGTGGTTAGAGTCTCAATATTTTTCTAGAAAAATTTCAATCCAAAGAAATTTTGATCCAGAGAAATTTCAAACAAATTCTCTATGTTTCAAAATTTTTTTAGTTTGAAATTTCTCTGGGTAGCTTAATTTCTCTGATTTTCTCTGTATTTTGAAATTTTGTTGGGTTGAAATTTCTCTAGTTTGCTTACAAATTTCTTTATGTTTTGACCAATTTTCTCTGGTTTGCTCATAATTTTCTCTGTGTTTTGTTTGAACCACGGAGAAATTCGCTTCGCTGTTGCTGCCTGGGCTGTTCTCTTCGATTCCGCCAAGAAATCCATGTACGATAATGACCTAAACCCAACCCAACTACATTGCTACGGTCTACAACAACAATCGACCATTTTTCTTCATAACCTAACCATATCAACAGATAGAGACAGAGAGTTAAAAAAAAGCTTCGAGGCTATCTCTGAATTCAATTCACATCGTATGGTGACCCATTGCAAGTCTGCACCACCAAACAACCCATACTATAAAAAGGATTCCATTTCCTGTTAATATATGGAGGCACATCACCGTCTCGCCCCTTTCTTTTTCTACCTCCTCCTAATAATCGCTTCTCTTGAAAATGGAGGTTCATCCATGACGAGTCGAAGTAGAAAGAAGATAGAGAAGAGAGAGAATAAGAGAATGGGTGTGATATATGAGTGTAGGTAAGGGACCTTAAGTTATAAAAAAAATATTGTGGACTTCTTCCATTATCGAAAGTTGGAAAGGCATGTTAGATTATATCTCATTTTATTCTTATATAATAAGAGAGTAGTTAAGAAATTTTTTTTTTTGCTGATTAAATTAAATAAATTTTTTTACTAAGAGGGTATTTGTAATTTTTAAAATTACATGAGATAATTCATATTTAAAGAAAACTTCAAGGTATAGTTGTAATTTACCCTTTTTATTTTTTTAAAATCACATTCCTACTCTTTGTTATCCATTTTTTTGGTTAGACAACCCCATGATTCAAATTTTTTTTTTTCAAATTTTTTTATACCATTTTGCTCTTGGGCGTTTAGGCGATAAATCCAATTTTGAATTTTTATTGCCTATAGGTTCAAGAGTTCAAACACTTAGTCCATAAAGACAAGATGGTGTTAAATGACCACACTAACCATGTATATATATATATATATTCTACCACCACTCACGTTTATTTCCAACCCCTATTTTCTAATGGGATGGGCTTCTTTCCGGTCTGTGATCGGGCTGGAGGGTACTATTGAGCTCGTGAGAGTCCACCATAGGTCCTATTTTGATAATCTGAACCATTGAATATGTAAAACTCGTAGAGTACTATATGTCTATAAAAAATCACTCTGATCGGATATCGATAGTTACGTGATCAAATCAGTTTTGTATAAAAAAAATGGACGATGAACAAATAAATTGTTGATAGAAAATTGATTTGATCATGTAGTTATTGATATCCGATCAACATGATTTTTTACTGGTTGATAGTACTCGACGAATTCTACATATTGAACGGTTTGGATTATTCGTGATGGACCCCCACGGGTCCAACAACACCCTCCAGTCCTGGAGTGAAGCCACTGCCTTTTCCAATAACCTAAAATTCTCTTTCTCTCTCTCTCTCCCCCTTTCTCTTTCATACCTCTCTCTTCACCATTTTCACTTTGTCGTTCTCCGTTGCAGTACTGCAACACTTCTTCCATTGTCATCCGTAGCAGCATTGTTGTACCTCATCCGCCATTCTCCGTCACAGCATCGTTACGGCATTTCCTTTTCTCTCTCGTCTCCATTTCTCTCTCCTCCATCGTCGACTCTCCTCTCTAATCTCTGATCTGTACCTCGACGACTCAAATCTACAACTCGAGTGAGTCAACCTAACTAGATTTGGTTCTTCGGCAAATCTCATTCTTTAGCTTCGTCTCACTCAGATCTGGTTGTATAGAAATCAATTGAGTCGGCTCCGCTTTCTTCCTCTTCTCCCTCCAGTAATGCATCATCGAATCTGAAGAAAGTGTCATTCAATGATCTGTGTAAGGATTCTGTTGGCACTATAAATCCGCAATTTTATTATTATTTATTATTTATATAATTACAGGACATGTGGTATCCTCTTACTCATTTGGAGATTATGAGAAGTTATGAAATGTGGAAAGATGATGGAGAACAAAGTGGAGAACATGGAGCATGAAGTGGAGGTTGAAGAATAGGATAGTTTTTTCCTACAAATATTTGTCTATAAATAGCCATTCTTTGTCTACATTGTAAAAGGATCCAAAACTCAAATCAAAGACAATTGATTTCTATTTTGTCATTTATATTTTCTGCATTTTATTTTATGTATTTCCTTTTCGAAGCGTTTATTTTCAACATTTCCTTTTCAAAGCATTTTATGCATTTCCTTTTCAAAGCATAGAAGTAGAGGTAAGTAATTATTACTTTGTTTGTTCACTCAATCATCTTTCTCCGTCTCCCTCTTTCTTCTTTTAATTTTTCTTTTCTTTATACTTGGCAATTTTGACGTCTTCTTTGTTGAGACAAAAGAATCGTCAACGCAATCGCTTGATAATTGGCTTGAATTTAATCTGTAAGGATTTTTTAATTCTTGCCGGCACGCTCGTATTTATGACATTTTTCTTTATAGGAAAAATAAGCCAACAATTTTTGGCACGTCCAGTGGGACGTCAAGTGTAAGAAATGAAATATGAATTGGATTCATCCATTCCAAATAGCCTAGATGAAATCTTTTGGCGTAAACAAAAAATTTTGGATCTT